ATCAGCCTCTGGAGACGTGTTTCCTGTTTCTGAGATATGCCAAACATTATTGAATTACAATAATCAAGTTTGGACAATATCAAACAAGGCGCCAGATTTCCGGCCAGATCGACTGATAAAAACTGTCTGATATGACGTATTTCCTTGATATGATAATTGCAATAATAGATGAAATATGATTAGAAACAGTTAGTTTCTTGTCAAGAACAACACCGAGTGTCTGTAAAGTGTCGCAGGGATATCACTATTACCAATCCTGATTGATGTCAGGTCTTGTAACTTGTTGTTTGTGTGGAATGAGCCTAATGTGATAACCTCTGTTTTTTTTGAGTTGAATTGAAGATTATTGAGAAGAAACAACCTTTCCATGGCAGCAATGCACGTAGTGATGGCATTCACGTTTGATGAAATATCATTATTCAATGAGATAAGTTGTGTATCATCAGCATATTGATGGTAGGATACGTTGAATCTGTTGATAATCTCGTGAATTGACGAGATATATAACGTAAAAAGAAGAGGACCCAAAACCGAGCCCTGGGGTACACCATATTGTAGTTGAATTGTAGGTGATACATATTCTAATATTTTGACAAAATGACTACGACCAGACAGGTAGGATGAGAGCCAGGACAAGGCAGATCCATCCACACAAAAAACAATGTTTAGACGTTTTAATAATATGTTATGACTGATAGTATCAAGGGCTGCCGACAAGTCCAACCCAGCAAGAATTGCAGGAGTTGAACACATGATCGAGTATGTGCAACAGAGCCGTCTCCGTGGAGTGATATTTACGATAAGCTGATTGGAGAGGCGTAAAATTTGGATGTTGTGATATGTAAGGCTGTAACCTTTTTAGTGCTGCCCTTTCAATAATTTTGGAAATGGTTGATAAATTTGATATCGGTCTGTAGTTTGATGGATCTGATCTATCTAAATTAGGTTTTTTTATGAGTGGAAGAACCGAACCTTTGCAGTTTTGAAGCTGTCAGAAAACTGGCTATGAAATGAGAGATTGGTTAAGATGGAAATGGCAGTTGATAGGGTATTGATGCAGTTTGTTAACACTTGATCTGGGAAAGGGTCCACTGGTGATGTTTTGTTGCAAGAGGAATTGATAATGCTTTTGATCTCATTAGGTGTGACATCATCAAAGAGATCAAAGCGAAGACTATTGCAAGCTGAAGCAGAAATATTATCTGAATCAGCATCACCTGATGAAACCAATAATTGTTGTTCAATATTTATGTGAATGTTATTGATTTTATTAATGAAATAATCATTGAAGTTAATGACCAGTGATGATATGTTAGAATTGTTGAGAGAAAGGTTATTGTGATTCCTGTGTAGAAGTTTATTGAGGTTGCGCCAAGTGACACGCGGGTTGATTGATTTATTGAGTTCATTTCTCAACGAATCCACTCTGGACTTAAGGATCAATTCTCTGGCCATACTTTTTGCATTATCATAGTTTAGTTTGTTGATTGTTGTTTTGTTGTTCAAGTAAATACGTTCCATTTTACGCCTATGTCTTTTTGCATTACGGGCATCATTTGATATGAAGTTAGAAGAATCTAGGTTTTTGCGGAAAACCCTTGTTTTTAATGGAGCATGTTTGTCAAGTGTCTGGGTAACTATTGAATTAATGTGAGTTGCATATTGATTAGTAGTTTGTTTATCACATTCTAAAATTGATGAGGAGAGTAGATCATCATTAAATTTTGACCACCTTACTTTTTTGAGAATTCTAAACGCAGCCTTATTGGATGTAATGTTGAGTCGAGGAGTGCAGATGGAAGTGGTGATGAGGCTGTGATCAGAATGGGTAGACATTGACTGCCGAAACGATGATTGAATGTTCTTTGGGTGTTATCAACAGGTCAAGGATATTGCCCTTATCATGTGTAGGCGAACAAGATTAAACATTAGATTAAACATTAGATTGCATTAGATTAAACTCATCTAATATCTCCAACAGTTCGGCATTTACAGATGCTTGAGGAGAAGGAGCATTAAAATCACCACACACTATGAATCTGACATTTGTTGATGTGACACTTTTAATTAAATTATTGAAATCATCCAGAAATTCAGATGTTATAGGGCCAGGAGGCCTGTAAATGATGAAAATATGAACTAGTGTTTGAATGTAATGGAATTTGACAGCAAGTAGTTCAAAACTGGTTGTTGAGAAAGAGGTAATTTTTGAACACTCTATATAGTCACGGTAGATGATAGCGATGCTACCCCCTTTCTTATCATCATTTGAACCTCTGTGCTGATGAATAACTGAGAAGCCAGGTGGAGCAATATCAAACTTGATTACATCAGGGTCATCAGATGCAATCCATGTCTCAGTTAAACACAACACATCCAGATGATGATCCCGCATTGAATCATAAATGAGTGCAGCTTTACGAGTTGCTGAGCGAGTGTTCAAAAGACCAAAATTAATTTGTTGTGAGTTTCTGATGGTAGAGACACATGATGGAGTATTACGTTCTGATTTAGGTCGCCAAATTTTGAACCTGAATAGATTATTGCGAGTACATCTTGGAATGAATGCTTTACTAAGCTGGCAGAAACTGAGTAACTGTGAACGGGTATAGGAAATAACCATGATGCTCAAGTTAACACAAAATTGTTATATTTTATCCAATTGAAGTCAAGTATTTTTTTATTTATTTTATTTATTCATGTTCGTTCATGTAAAAATAATGTGTTCTAATTTTATATGTAATTAAAAACATTATGATTAAACAAAATTATTTGATTTAAATTTAATTTTTTAAGTTTAAATTGATTTATTAGTTTAAAAAAAAAATAAAGTCTTAATTCCGAGATTTAAAACACGCCATGTTGTCAGCATGGGTGGGTGCGTTCTTCCAGCAAGAAACAAATCGCTGTATGTATTGCGGTAACAGGAAAAATACCCCCCGGACAAATACCTCCCGATCAAAATACCCTGCGGGCAATTATCCCCTGAGCAAAATACCCCCAGGACAATTACCTCCCGGACAAATGTACTGTTATCATCAGTTCCAAAAATAAACATTCGATTACTATTTTCTCGTCCAGAATCATGCAAAAGGAAATTTTGCCCATCACGAGTAAATTTATAACAATCTGGAATTTCAACATCAGCCAGATCAATGGTAAAGCTATCGGATTGCTAACAACTTGACGGAGACGTCTTATATTACGTCGTATATGTTGAACAGTTGGCAATTTAGCTTTAGCATTATCATTTATTACTGAAACGCATCTAGCAACGATTTGTTGTGTTGATTCAAATGTTTCTTTTGCTAATACCTTACATTGTTGTGCACAGGTTAAAACTTCATTTCTCGCTGGATCTGGAGCATGAGAATGTACGTTCACTTGTTCCACAAGCTCATGACCACAAAGTTTAAGTTTAGCCTTGGACAAACTAATGTTTTTCATTTTTTCGCATTCATATGATACGACAACGTTTGCTAATCTTTCTGTTTAACACAAATAAAACCTTCGAAAAGCACTTTTAATTTTCCTCTATTTGAATTTACAAATTCAATCAACGATGCCATTATTACGTGTAATTGAAATCAAATTTATAACAAAATAATAATGATTATGATTCCCAACAAAAAATTTTGACAAAATTGAGTTAAGTTCACAGACAACAAAAATATGTATTCTAAAAGATAAGGAATAACTATTGTCATTGAAAAAACATTAAACGCTAATTTTTTTGCATTAGAAAGAAAATTAACAACAGCTCAATTTGCTCTAATGAATTAGAAATTATAATTCATTTGTTCTTAGAGTTTTTATGATGGTTTAGCCCGGGGGGTATTTGTCCGGGGGGTAATTGTTCGGGGGGTATTTTTCTCAGGGGGAGGGGTATTTGTCCGGGGGTATTTTGGTCAGGGGTTAATTGTCCGGGGGTATTGTGCTCGGGGGCAATTGTCCGGAGGGTTTTTGTCCGGGGGTATTTGTCCTAGAACCGTTCAGCCACTACTTTTAATCTCCAATAGCGATATCCCTGACATGTTTCACAAGACAAGACCTTCGATTCCATATTTTTCTTCAATCTTTCATCAACAACAGCCTTTTCTAATTTTTCATTTAAAATAGGAATCTGCTTATTGATGTATAAGTGATCAACAAAATGTTTCGTAAACAGGGTTGTAAAGTTTATACGCGATAATTTTTTTATTTATTTATAAAACCGTACATGAACCAACAAAAGCAAACTAATGAAATTTTATTTGCTCCTTATTAAAAAAATAATTATTAGGCAGGTTGACCATAAAAAATTTATGAAGCAATTCATCTTATGTATTCACCTTAACATAAAACGTAATAGTTTTTAGTTTTTAATTATTGTAAATTATTGTAAATAATAAATAAGGCATGATGGACGTTCTAGTTGTTAGTTGTTAACATTAAACAGACTTAACGGTTATTGTTGTATGTTATATGATTATACAATATAAAATTTCTAATAACATGTGTATAGTACACCTGCCTTGCATTAAACAGATGTTCCCCTGTATTTTCACGATATCTTTTGCAAAATGTATAAGTTGGTTGGTTGGTATCTAGGTTCAGACTCATTTTATTTATTCTTCTGGAATGGTCTTCTCTTTGCAATTTTTCTTTCTATTCCTAACAAAACTTTGCAGCACTACTAAACTGTTCATTTTGGTTTTTACAGTTTAAATCTTCCATTACAACTCATTGCTTAGCCTGAGACTTTGATAGCAACCGGTGAACAATGTATAAACATTTTTTTGTATCTTAATAATACTACTAAGTTATTTAAAAGTTGAGAAAATTAATTGAAGAAATTTAAAAGTTACCATTATTAATTCACCCATTCATTATAAACAATTGAATATACACACTACAAAATCTTTAACTGGAATTTATTTATGTAAAAATGAATATAGTTGCTAATATTTGCAACACCTAGCTTGTTTTGTTGATGTAAAGTTATAAATGAACTGAAACAGATCGATAACCAGGTCGTATTACAGAGATTCTGTTGGAGTGTTGCTGGTGTACGACATAACAAGGAGGAAGACATTTGAGCATTTGGAAGGCTGGTTGGAAGAATCAAGGTTGACCATCGTACCACACAAAGCTGTCTATGTGGTTGTTGGTCACAAATCAGATGTTGAGTCTGAAAGACAGGTGTCCTTCAAAGAAGGTTCGTTTGCCCATACTTTCTTGTTCTATGTTGTCGTCTATATATATTTACAATGAACTCATGTTACTAATCATTAGTTAATTTCAGGAAAGTCATATACCTGATACTCAAATTTTGTTGAACTGTTCAATTTAAAATTACTTTTTATCACTAACTAAACTATTCAAGCGATTCTAGTTTTATTTTCATCATCATTTTCAAGCAAAATTGAAAAAAATAATTGTAATATAATACTGCAGGTCGATCCTTTGCATCCAATAATGGTTTTCACTTTTTTGAAACATCTGCTGTCACAGGCAACAATGTAGAGGAGGTGTTCTGCACAATAGCTCGAGAAATATACGCCAAGGTGCACAAGGGAGAATATTTATTGTCAGACGACTGGGATGGTGTCAAGGAAGGGACAAATTTGGCTCTTTGTCAACCAATCAAAGTGAGGGAAACAGCAGCTTTGAAGCAGGACCACTGTGGTGGCTATGGCAGCTGTTGTTGAACAATTACAATCAGATATCTTCATCATCATCTTATCATTAATCAGTTTTAATATTATACTTCTTGTACAGTATGTTGCAGTAATGTATTTTTTACATTCAATTTTATAATTTATTTGTTGAGTGTTTTGCAACACATTTTAAGCGTATTAAAGTAAGAGCAATTTTGATGAAATGTTATAAATTGATGTAAGTTGCTTAAGTGAAATAATCCAGTGTCAGAAAATGTTATCATCACACTGGAAAGGCACATGCAATTATTTCTCTTTTGAAAAACATTTGTAGCTAATTTTAAAATTTAAATATGTATGAGCAAAAACGTTGTGCAATGGAACTGGCTAGTGTTAACTGCACAGATTTGAATATTTCAAAAAAGAAAGTATATGATACAAATTAGAAACATCTACTGCCCAACTTGCTTGAATTGTATGATTCCACAACGAACGTAGGTACTTGAGAAATCAACAGAACCAATTCAATCTCACTGCGTCAAGCATTCAGTATTTATTGCATCGCCCTATCGACGAGAGGTTATGTATTTTGTAAGAAAATCTCATGAAAAGTATTACATTTATCATTTTTTAATCGTGACTAGTGTTATGGAATTTTATTACAAGTGCTTGAACTTTTTTTTTGATCAGAAATGTTATTCTACAGTATTCTTTTTTAGTTATTGCGGATCGGCCACACCCATTCCTTATTTTTATGGCATTACAAGATTCCCTGCACAAGTTAAAGTGAACATTGGTTGATGCTACTCCAGCTTGCCTCCAATAAAGTTGATAACGGGATGAATAGGATAGGACAATTTTAGTGATGAAATCACCCGGCCCCGGCTCTTAAAAATAACTTTATTAATTATTATTAAAATAACAAGACATTGTGAGGAACAAAGTAAATAACAGCTTGAGTGATATTGACGAAGATAAAAAATGTTTCAATTAGGTTGACAAATCATGTGATGTAGTGTAGCTAGTTCATATACTGACAATGTTTTAAGCACATTGCCGTTAAAAATTTAGACTTCCTTAAGCATCCAGTGTCGCGTGTGTACGTGTACGTTATTGACTATTTGTTTTTTTTTCAATTATTTTTCTAGTAAAGCATTAGTTAACGTTTAAAGTCTATCTGTAATGACGTTTGTATTGTGTTGAATTAAAAATAGTATTATCAATGATAATAATTGTTTGATAATTAATCACCAGTCCTGGTCTTTAGACTGGTGTTAATTTATGTATCAATGTATAATGCATTGAATATATTTGCATATCGGCATTAAGCTTTTATGGCAACTAAACGTAAGATATAATATTTAGTGTACATATTTAAACGTATCATACAATCTATTTGGTTGTTGTGCTTGTTCAGTCATTCACTAACTTATTTTTTAATTGTAAGAGCACTTTTCAGATTTAAAAATTCATTGATAATTTGTAAATAGATTCATATTAACATTAACCATCACGGTATTCCGTATATATATATTATTTTTATCAATTTTTTAAATATTTTATAAAAATCGTTTCATGCTGTTATCAAGAACTTGTAGCTTTCTGGCTCTAATTATTATTTTTTAATTATCAGCCATTTCAAACTGAAGTCAGATTCATCTAAAAAATCAGTCATTTTATTTATTTTTGTTTTACACACACATATATATATACCTATTTTTTGCCTGTGATATTATTTAACTTAATTTATTTTTTCTCAATTATTTTTATATATTCCAGAAAAAATTACATGTGTAGACATGTACTGCATTATACACATAAAGACATATACATCCATTCATTCATGCATATATACATACATAGCTTTGCTGGATATGATAATGATAAATTTTAATAAAAATTTGGTTCAATTTCTTGCCAATTTTTAAAAACTAAGTTACGAGCTATTGAATTTAATTAGAATGAAAAGGGATTTAGACTGACTTCACACTAAATTTCAGTTAACATGTTCACTTTAGCGGTGAGCATGACATTTTTTAACAAAACACATAAAAAATCAAGCACTTCGATTTGAGTCACAATTCAATTATACCATGCATTTTTAAAAAGGAACAAATAATTTTTAAATATTTCATTTCTGATTACTTTTTTGCAACCTCGTAAATGAGAACAAGTTTCAAAAATTTTCTCTCAATCTATTCAACTACAATATTTGGTAAATTCTAAATTTGAAGCTTGAACTGAACAGCCCACAGCCATTATTAAACTAATGTATGAACAACCATTTAGTAAAATATTAGGAAATAAAAATGTTATAAAGATTAATTTTTTTAACTGAAAAATTGTTTTTTTTAAACTTTTAAAGAAATTCTATTGTAAAAAAATTAAACTGTTACAAATATTTTAAGTGATGCCTTCTCTTTCTTTAAACTCCTTCAACTTTTCGAGTCTCTCCTTTGTTTTTATTTTCTTCTGCTGCTTCAGTTTAGAATCTTCAGCCTTTTGAATGACTTCTTGGCTGAATGGTCCATTAAAATGGAAGTCTAGCTTCTTCTGCATGAGATAGCGGGCTATTTTTCTGTTCTCTTCCAATGATCTTGTCTGGTGACACTGTGGTCAAAAAATTAAACATTAACGTGTTAATTTGCCTTCTTTTGTTTATTATTATTATTGCAATATCTATCTATGTCCAGTATCTATTTGGTCATAGTATAATAAGATGTTAGACATTACAAGTAAATGATACATTAATTTTATTACATGTCTAGTATACTGTAAAAGCTTTTCTCCTTATTTCAACTCCCTTAAATTTATAAACTTTTGTTTTTTTTTCATTTCATCTACAATGATTTTTCATGTAGAAGTTACATCACCAACTAAATATGAAGCACCAAAATAACTTGCTGTTTGGTGAAATTTGGTTTTGGCACCCAATTTAAAATAGTGGGCTTTTGAGCTGCATTCAATTCAAAAGTTATATAGCACAACTATATAATAATAGTTAGTGTGGTGGCCCAACTTAAAATGGTTGACCTTGGTCAAATAAAACAGCATGAAGTAAATTAAAATTTATTTAATTTTTAAGGATAGGTTAGATACTCAAATAGAATGGAGGCACCTTAACAACAAGCCCAGTAGGGATGTGCCTGAGTACAACATTATTGTTTGTTTTATTGGTGGCTTGTCCTCCAGGCCCTCCACCTCTCACATGCATCTCCTCGATTTCATTTTCTACCAGACTGGGATAAATAAACTTCTTTTCACCCAAATAATTTAGCCGAGTAACTTGAGTTACATTTATCTGAATAAATAACGTTTTAATGTAGTTAATCTAAATGTAAATATAAATTTAATATAATGATCAAAGAAAGAAAAATTATAAAGTGAATCAACTTTCATTTGTAAGAAGGGAATCAGGAGACATAAAAATAAACCGGAAACGTTGATATATTAACAAACTGATCATTTTGGACACTTCCTTTAACTAAGTGGTCAGTCAGTTCCTTGATGCATGGACGAACAAGCGCATTAATATCTCAAATGTAAAAATAAACATTTTGTTAATAACTTAGGACAGTTAACACTTCGTCATTATGATCCAAATATTAAAAAGTCCTAAGTAAATCATGCTAAATTTTCAACAGCCTAAGAAAGAAAACAAATTTCTAAGAAATAATTTGAATAAGTTGCTAAGCTTACAATGGTAACTTGATTTTAAAATGGAAGAAATAGCAGATCAATATAATATGGTGAGTTTTTCAAGTATTCTCGTTTATTCTGAACAAACAATAAATATAAATTTGTTTGAAGTAGTTTGGTAGTCTCAATGCTTGAGTGAAGTAGAAGTAGTTGCAACACTAAACCTTAGGTTAATCAATGACTATTCGATTACTAATTACTGAAACTGTTGGGCTAGCTATTATTATAGTCATTGTTATGACACCAACACCCATAATCTATGCTAACATTAAAATTTGATATAATAATGGGTATAATTCAGTAAAATAATAACTAAGCAAGCAGTTAAAATTTTGAGATATTAAAAAATGAAAGTAACTGATATATATATATATATATATATATATATATATATATATATATATATATATATATATAATCTTTTAGCATAGCTGCTTTGCCTCTTTGTTGTAATTTATATTATAATACTTCATAATATGTTAGGGTTTGTATTAAATCTAAATCATTTTTGTGCAACTTTGCAGCATTTCAACACAATGAAAAGGTTATCTTTACTTACATTATTTATCTTAAAATTTGAAGGAATTTTGATTTATTATTTTATAAAGTACTTTTTTAAAGTTTGTTAAACATCATTGTGTCAGAAAGTTTAAGATGTGGAGATTTTTTAAAAGGTTCAAATCTATCAAAATCAATTTGAAATATTTTAATTAGAAAAGAAAACATGAAAAGGAAAAATAAAAAATTATATCTTTATGGGGGTTTATATTTATTCTACTGGTTAACTACTCCTTTAGAAATATAAATATTAAAATTTAAAACTTTAAAATTAAGTTCAGAAGACAGAAGAGTCTCTTTTGAATTTAAATATTGACTAACACACTTTTACAGTCTTTACTTTTTACTAAAGTCTGAATCTAAAACTCAGAGTGCAGTGCATTCTTACCTGTTAAGAGTTAAACAGTAAGAGTTAGAGTTTAGAGACAACTGTGTAGTAAACTGTTTTGTCAAACAGGCGTTGCAAAAGCATCTGTGTTTCAAGCCGTTTAATTTAACAACTCCTACACAGCTTTGAAAAGTGCTTCATTTTCATTGAAAAACGCTATAATATATATATCACTCAGTCGTTACTACGACACCATGAGTCAAAATAAATGCATATATATTTTTCAAAAAAGAGCGCTTCTACGGGTCGTTGTGTTTGTCAACAAAGAAGACTAAACTGGAACAAAGTAGTCCACAGTCAGCTGATTGAAGCAAGGCACCCTTTAACTAAAAGTAAAAGCCATTAAAAAAATTACTTGTAACAGTTTATTAGAAAAACTGAACCCACAACTGCAAGCATCATTTAGAATTTTCAGGGAGCAAGATCTTATCATAACTTGGTGGTCGATAAATAAACTTTAAAGAGCGAACTCAAACATTAGGGTTACATCAGTTAAGTTAGACGAGGAAATTTAAATCTTCGTCTTTAATGTAACTTATATATTATATAAATATATATATGCAAAACACCAAAAAACAAAAATTTTGATTTTGAACTCAAGAATGATTTAGAAAAATCGAAAAGTTAAACAGGAAGTTAACTAATGCCGAACATGCTGTGATTTTCATCAATAATTGCATTTCTGACAGTCTTAATCCAATATATTATATATATATAAATATATATATGTATATATATATATAGGAATATTCTTGAATCATTTATTGAAATAACAGGTTTTGAAATTAGGAATTACAATAGAGACACTGTTTTCCAAGATCAGTTAATGGAGTCCTTACTATAATTGAAATGTATCTACTTTCCATTATACATCTACTTTCCGTTAAATATCTACTTTCCTTTTAATATGACTCGCCGCCAAACAGGATTCTCGTCTTTGGTCATTTTCATTGAACGTTCCCAGCCCAGTCTTACGATAATAATTACTCACTTTTCCCACATGTATTATACCGGCGCGAAATAACGGTGAGGAGGAACCGTGAGCAATGTCTTTTATTTCATTTTTTTTACATCCTCGTATTATTGTTCGTTTTGCGAGTTTTAGGTGGAGCCCAGTTGAATTTTTAAAATTGGTCTAAAATTTATTTGATTGATTGATCGATCGATCGATTGTAAATTTCACACTTATCTAGATTTCGTGCATTTAAATTAAAAGCCGTTTTGATGTTATAATTAAAGAATGAATCGATTGTAAATTAAAAACGAGGCGGACAATTAATTAAATGAGCAACCACTTAGAATTTATATCGAAAACGTTCAAACTTTCAAAAAAGGCCGCTGACTCATTTTCATCCGTTCATTTTCCCGCCATCTTCACAATCTGGACACAACGTAAAGAAACATGAAACTCCGTTATTTTTAAACTGAATTTTATTTACAATCAAAATTTATTTAAAAAAAGTGATATTTATAAATAATTCCAGATATTATTTATTATCAATGTAACAAAGTTTATATAAAATAAAGTTAATCAAATGGAATCGTTTGAATGTTTCAACATTGACGTCAAAAATGTAATGAAAATTGGAACGACGTTCACAGAAGCGTGTTGTACTGAACGAGTTAGAACATCAAAACAACGCACATAAACTATAACTAGCAGATGTTTGCAAACACTACAACTATTTGCTCACCATTAACAATCACAACGACAGTTAATGTGACAAAAATGTTAAATATATTCGTAAAATGAATAAATAACACACACAATAAAAAAAATTAACAACTTTTTAAAGTACGCTTCCTCAAATCAAACTGATTGTCGTTCCTGGCTAGATGGTTAACTTGCGACAGCTTCTGCTCGTCATCTTCTTCAGCAGGACCGCTGGATACCTCACCGTCCGCCAACAATTCTGGAAACAGCTCCTCCAGCACTGCGTCCAACAACGTGTAAGATAACTGCACAGCCATTGCATTTTAGGAATGTTTTTACGTGGTAACAAATCTTTAAACATCAAATTAATGGAAATTTATTTTCAATGAAACTTTCTCTGCGATAAAAAACTCAAGGGTATTAGACGTACAACTTGTTTTGAGAAAGAGGTTATAATTTGCAGTCCATTGATATAACGTAATTTTTATTCTTCAAAAATTAAAATTTGGCAGATGCAGAATCCGTTACAACATACAAGACCAGTGCGAATCTAGGGGGTGCCGCACCCCGTTATGAGCAGTTTTTTAATAAAAGTCAGAAAAAGGACCGTTTTAGGTAAAAAATCGACCCAAAATTGGATGTGATAAATAAAAAAGGTCGTCAGCCCAGCTACCACAAATTTCGCCCCTCCCGTTAAAATTTAACCATTTTCAAAATTATGACTCCCCCCTCAAAGTTGTCTAGATCCACCACTGTGCAAGACCATATTAAAAATAGAGTGAAAAGGGTTACATATGGAAAATAGATTTAATGTAAAAACAATCATCTAACAATCTAACTAAACGCTTCGAGAAACCTGACATTACAATAAAAGTAAACTTGCGTTGAACATTTGAAACTTCCATTGCTTTAAAAACTCCTTAGCTATTGACAAAGATTAATTGAAAATCTAAAAGTATACGAACGTGTTTGTTGAGTCGAGGCCGTTGGAGTACATCAAACAATAATTTGGTTCCTTTCTTGTGTTTTTCTGACCCGACCACCCGGACAAACACATCTGCCCAATACAGCATGTACAGTCATTGATATTATATCATAATAAGCAAATGTCTGGAATAAACACATATAAACTACATTCTAAATATCCATGGAGTGCGTACTTGGACACATCAAATAGATCGCATTTGTCACCGTCAACAAAAAGTAGCCCAACGTGAATCAGAATCAATCAATCAATCAATCAATCAATCAATCAATCAATCAATCAATCAATCAATCAATCAATCAATCAATCAATCAATCAATCAATCAATCAATCAATCAGCTTATAAAGCGCTATTTCCGCGATGTTCAACAGCGCTCCTCAATGAATTTTGAAAACAGATGGGTCTTGAGATCCGCTCTGAACTTCGCAAGTGATGGAGAAGTAGTCAGAGAAGTAGGTAGAGAGTTCCAGAGAAAAGGACCAGAAAAAGCAAAAGCGGATTTAGCAAAAAAGTGTTTAACACGAGTTAAGAAAAAGCGAGAAGAAGAAGACGATCGTAAACCGGGGCGTTTAGGTTCAATTAATATATCTGATAAATACTTAGGAAATAATTTAGATTGAGACTTATACATGAACGTGCAAATTTTAAAAATTATTCTATATTTTATAGGTAGCCAGTGCAAGAGAACAAGATATGGAGATATATGAGAAAAAAAAGGGGCACGAGCAACTAGACGAGCAGCAGAGTTAAAAACTTTTCTTTAAAGGATAGAGTATAGAGTCAAGAAGACCATAGTAGAGCGAGTTACAGAAGACTAATGAGATCAAATAAATACTTGGAATGTAGTTGAGTAAATCTTTAAATGCTTCTTTTTGCCTTTTCTTCTTGTCCTCTTCTGATCTGTCATCATATTTAGTATATAAATGTAAATAAATAAATATATATATAAATAAATAAATAAATAAATAAATAAATATATATATATATATATATATATAGATATGATATAAAATATATATAAATATATATATTTGATAAAATCCACTGAATTTTTAGCTTTTGAAAGTTTACGATTGAGCTTTCAATATTTCTAACATTTATCTTATATTTCTAATGATAAGAATATTATTTTAAAATCTTAACACTCGTTTTAACATTACTACGTTTTTTGATATGAATCAAATCGCAATTTGTATATAGATAAATCAGAAAATTAATAACAGTAAAATTTCGAAAAATAAATACAGATGAGTTTAACGAATGAAATGAAATGACAATGATGACAGTTAAAATTTATATGCGAATATTATGCAAACCTTGGGGGATCGGTATCATAAAATATTGCATCTGTTTAGTTTAAAAATTAGTTTAGTAACTATCAAATAAATTAATAACTAATACATTTTTTAAATCAAATAATCAACAAAAACAGTTTTGTTTAACTCTAATGTTCAGATGATTAGTAGTAATTTTCAAGCAGGAACATTGTGAAGTTGACTACTTAGCACATTCAGCTGTCTACATATAATCAAGGATGCGTTAAAACCTCGAACCACACGTTTTAGCAGCCCATTTCAATTCCCACGTTTAAAATCTACTCATTTGACCTTCCACCTTTTATAAGTTTATATCGAAAATGCGAAAAATTTGAGTTTTCGAATGAATTAGTAAAATAAACGTTACATGAACCCGCACGTGTTAATGAAATAAAAAGTGAAAGAAAGAAGCAGACAAAGCAGAGCAGCCGACCTCTGAGTAGGTGAATAATCTTGACGACGTAATGTTCCGTGAGAGCTTGCTGCAGTTTCCTGTTCAGGTACCAATCCAGGTAGGTGTCGATGGTGTTTCTCAGTAGCATCCTCAACGATAGGAACAGCTGCATCAACCAATCAGGTGACTCGTAAATGGAATTACCTACATTTGAGGTTTATGATTGGTCAGTTAATTAATGATTATTAATTAAACTAAATGCGACAAATAACTTGTCATACTATGGGCATACAAAACACACACACACCACACACACACACGCACACACACTGACTTGATGACTAACATAAATAGAGTAACGAGTCAAAATAGCTGGTGATGTTGTCAACAAAACATTTTTCACTAGGAGCGCTGCCTCCATTGCCAGCGTCATAATCATCCTCCCTGTCATCAGCATCTTCATCACCATCACCAGTGAACATTGTGTTACTGTCAACGATAGCGTATGGCAGGTCTTCAAAGTTTCCGTTGTTGTTGTATATTGAGTTGATCATCTACACGCATAAAAACAGTTGTGAGTGATTTAAATACCAAAGTATTCAAATTCTCCGAATGCTATTTTAACTAGTACTAAGAGTTAATCATTTGAATCAGTCAGCGTTCACTGAACAGTAAATGTCATTCAGTCGTTAATATGTTTGTGTGATGGTATTCACATTTCTGTCATAATAGTAGAAAAGTGCAATTTTTTACATGTACATACAAAATTAAAAATGTACTTTCATTAATGAAGACATTGAGGAACTTACTACAAGCAACGACAACAAAATGTCTTCAACACCTACAACATAGAAAACACGATACAGACATACCTTCTCACTGGATATGGACAGTGTATCGGAATCTCTGTCTACCTGCTTGCCACTGCATGTTGAAATTTAAATGTATTCCATCGTCAACCATTATATGCAAGTGCTGTTTAATTTTTTCGTACTTATGAAGCAGAATAAACTAATTTTTTCTTCTTAAACAAGCACACGTAAGATTCTCAATAAGAAACAAATATAACCTTATGATAATAAGGTTATATTTGTTGTTGTTACATCCGAAACAACCGAATAAACAGCCAAGCGAGATTAAACATAAAACCTTCCTTAACATCAGCTCCTTAAATCAATTCATATCGTAAAGAAATATTATTAAAGTATATGATTCAACCCAATTGCAATGCAGTCTCTCTTTTCAAATATGGCCTCCTACTTCGTGATGTACGTACTGGCACTGCAGCTACTACGTTCTCTCAAAATTATTTCAAATGCACCCCCCTCTCAAGATAAACTTTTTGATCTCCTCAATAGAATAACTTGTTCAACACTCGTTTGTTAAGCATTCATTGTGCCAGCACTTTTATTTTATTACATTGAACCAACCAATCAACAACTAACCAACCAGACAGCCAGCCAGCCAACCAACCAATCAGCCAGTTGACCAACCTTGATTTGGACTTGCTTGATTCAGTGGATTGCAGGAAGGTTTTCAAAAAAGGCTCCAAATGCTGGCCTTTCTAATTGGAATCATCATTATATTAATGTTATACCGTTGTATCATCAACTCAAAAATGTGATATTATCAACCAATTAATATAATTATTATTTAATATTATTATATAAATATATATTTTCATCTCCACCATTCGTTAGCGCCAACATTAACAAATATTATTTCGACAATTTTGGCTTTATAGACGTGCAGCAGCAGCAATGATCACATGTCTGAGTGTAAAAATTTCGTCATCGGCACATCAACAGCGCACATTTCCAACCTCTCTCACCAGCTTCATTGCGCCGCTCTTCATCTTCTTACCTGAAACATTTTATAACACATTAAAATTCGAACTATTATCATCAGCATTCAGTTCAACAACATCAACTTCATCACCAATGAGGCCTTAAAAACGCAACCACCACAAAACACATTATTCTGATTATCATCAACCCCAAAGGACTGGCAACAAAATTTTTGATTTGGTCGAATAAAATACAGGAGAAAGCGCAATAAGTTCAAGCATTTAAAACATTTTTTTAATGAAAGTTATTCATGTTTTACAAGTCTCATAAAGAAATGAAACATTTTGTTTATCCAAGGAAACGTTTCAGCTGAGATTACAGCCAAATATTTTGTTCTAGTCCAACTGTACGATTGAACGTACGATTGGAAGTAAGGTTAAATGTATGATTGAATGTATGACTTGAAGTATGATTGAATGTATGACTTGAAGTATGATTGAATGTATGACTTGAGGTATGATTGAATGTATGACTTGAAGTATGATTGAATGTATGACTGGAAGTATGATTGAATGCCTGACTTGAGGTATGATTGAATGCATGACTGAAAGTATGATTGAATGCATGACTTGAAGTATGAAAAGAAAATAACAGGGTGTGATACTACTTGGAAGATAGGATAACAAAGATTTACGTAACGATAAGAAAATAAAGACTCACAGGTAAATCGACTCCATCTGAAAGGAGGCGAAGAAGTGACTTTGAAGTTGAAATGAATGTTACATGTGGAAATAAACACGGCATGAGTTTTAAAGGATAAAGCTGCATTGACATTTTTACAACACACGAGCAAGCAACGAATGCAATAAATGCAGCTTTTTAATTTAAAGCCTCGTACAAAACATCTAAAAACCAACAAACCTAAATTGACATCAAGAAAACTGGTTGTGAACTCTTGGTTGGAAGTGAGGAAGCCGTAAACCAGCTGACTTCCTCGCAAGTTTGGCTTCGACAACAAAATCTGAACACATGAAATAAACAAATGTTTTTTCGGCATGTATAATGTGAAAATTATCAGAAGGATAATTGTTGATGTAGAGGCTAAAGAAATGTTTACTTATATACCAATGCAATTATTTTTAAAGATCACTGCGTTTTCGGCATTAATCAAATTGTAGTTGAGTTTCTCAATTTTTCTAACGAGACTTTTATCATCTTGATGAAGTTTATTAAGGTTAAATAAAAAACTTTTAATTTTTGACAAAACATTACTAATAACGTTATTACTACAGAAAAGCTCTTTTCGGCATCGACTGCCATCATCAGTGTAGTTATATAGTATACTATACAACTACACTGATGTATAACTATATAGTATACTATACAACTACACTGATGTATAACTATATAGTATACTATACAACTACACTGATGTATAACTATATAGTATACTATATAACTACACTGATGTATAACTATATAGTATACTATACAACTACACTGATGTATAACTATATAGTATACTATACAACTACACTGATGATGGCAGTCGATGTCGAAAAGAGCTTTTCTGTAGTAATAACGTTATTAGTAATGTTTTGTCAAAAATGTCAAATATTGAAAGTTTTTTATTTAATCTTAATAAACTTCATCAAGATGATAAAAGTCTCGTAACAAGTTGAATAATGCCGAAAACGCAGTGATCTTTATAAATAATTGTATTTATGATAGTCTAAACCCAAAATTTATATACCAGTGATACACATCTTATCAACTCTAAGAATGAATATTGACGCTAACGTGAGAGCAAGTTTATAACTCCATTAGGTATTTTATACGAATCAATTGAACAACCAGCATTGAGACAAAAGAAGTACACAACACGAAAAGGAATCACTTAAAATTATTGAATAGCAGAGAAATATCAAATAAACGAACCCTGAGAAATGATTCGAACTCGGTCCTCAGATTTTCAAAAAAGATTTTACTTTTAGGTACAAATGTTTTTTTGGCTGGTAACTGACAATCATCAAATTCACCTGAATTCAAGATTGTTCAATTAGAAACATTACGTACATGTTTGTTCAATTAAAAAACATTAATTACGTGTTTTTCAAATCCGAAACATTACATACGTAAAATTATAAGCTGGCTTAAATTAATACTCAAATTGCCGATATCAGGGTAGAACATTACGAAATAAATTAAAGATACACTACGCATACGTTTGTTCAATTAGATTTTACTACTAATTGTCTCTTAATTTCTTAATTATTTCTCAAAAGTATCAAGTATCAACAACACACACACACACACACAAACACAAACTCACACACACAGCGCATGTGAATACGTGTGATTCGACGCATCAAACACATTGCATGTCGTAGGTGGGGATCTCTTGCATTCAAACCTAGTTACTGCAGGGAAGCCCTCATTCCGAGAATTGCGATAATAAGAAATAAGAAAGCGATATGACATTAAGAAATGAATTCAATTTGCTTATTATTCGCCACGACGATCAAAAGATAACATGTTATATTTTTCTATTTTTGACATTTGTGTTAAATTTTTTGGTCAAGTGACTTTTATTTGATGTATCATGTTGACCTTATCAGCTCCGTTAAAATGTTGATACGAAGTTCACCGGGCCAGCTAGTAATTTACTATTATTATATATAATAATAATGTCATTTTATATAGCGCCATGGCAAGCGACTGAGACGCATTATCATTATTACAACGAACACACAGTGCATAAAATGCATGTGATAGGCGGGGATCTTTTTTTTGCATTCAAACCCGGACTCTGCATCAACAACAATACCAGGCACCTTAGCCATTACACCATCGCGCCCAATGGTGTAATGGCTCGTGTAATATAAAAAGCAAACAAACCGTGAAATTCTTTCAGTTTGTTTTCCAGGACATAAAATTCATGATACCTCCTATAGATGTAAGAAACGTTCCAAGTTAAATTTGCTCACGTGTCGTCAACTCACGCATCGTGAACATCAATTGTTAGTCAGTAGTCTAATTATCTTCATAAAAGATTATGATTTAAATCCAACTTCACATTGTAATAAATTCTAATCAAAATACCTCAAGCAAAACATTACAAAAATTACAAAACTATCATCAAGCATCAAATACAGCATGATAAACAACATCGATGTCGGACCTTTCAATGAGCCAACTCTCTTGCTCGAAGAACTCAACTGAAAATAACGACAAATTAGCATAGTACATTAAAGTGCGTCGTCTGCTAAAAATTACAATAAAACGCAAATGCGGATATATGTGAATAAAGTCTGAACAAGCCTAACAACCAGTACCAAATTATACAAATACAATTAATGTATATTATTAAAAATCTATGTCAGTTATTTAATTATTCAGGTAACATCCGCAGCATCCATGCGTGCAAGCATTTACTAACAAACTCAAAAATAATTGACAGCTGGTTAACAGCAAACACACACAACATCACAACGCCACATCACACAAGAAGTATCTGACCACCAATGAACAACCTTCCTTATCATCAGCCAGACATCTGACATCGATCTGAAACGCAAATGAAAATTTTTTAACGTTGTTCGGATCGGCGGGATCAGCCTTGGTGAGGATGCATGGAATGCTAACTGCCCACAAACTCAAATCTCTCAACTGCTGATCTGCAGAATCTGTCGGTGAGCCTGCCATTATGAACGAGTCGTCAGTTGGAAGAACTTGATAGGAGGACCCGTCCGACTGCTTGTGTTTTTCACAGGGAGGATGTGTTAATGTGTGAATGTGATGGTGTGCGTATGTAATGGTGTGTGTATGTGATGGTGTGTTAATGTGATGGTGTGCAAATGTGATGGTGTGTGTATGTGATGGTGTGTTAATGTGATGGTGTGCAAATGTGATGGTGTGTGTATGTGTTGTTGTCGTGTGAATTGGTTGCTGTGTGGATGTTTTGTTGGAAGGATCCAAAATTATGCAGAGCGATAATGAGTGCAGAGCAGTCAGGCAGTTCAAAATATGATGCTAAGTTAAACTTACAGCAAGTCGTGTTAGCAGTTTGCGCTGTGCACATACAATTTAGAGTGGAATGAATTATAAAAAATTTAAATATTATTCAATTAAAAAAATATTAGCATCACACATTTACAAACTAAAGTTATAATTAAAAAATTCACAAGTTGTTTATCACTGACTGAATTACCAAACATTTAACTACTGAAATAAAACTATCAATGTATAAAATTCTCACAAAGTAAAAATTCAAAAGCATGTTAATTACTTTGTTAACAGCAGCAGGATTGCTGTTGCTGTGCAGAGTTAGATTAGAACTAGCAGCGATGTTAGATGTGTTAGTGTTCATAATATTTAAGCTTTCTTCAACCTACGGAATGAAAATTAAAAGGCACGTTCGACGTATCAACATTTCCATTGCACTAATCCAACTAATATTAATAACCAGTGCATGAAATAAATCAAGACATGATCGTGTAATCGTTCGAAATGCCGGTAAGCATGTGAAGACCACATGTTAGCATAAGAAGGGGTCGGGAAGGTTCTTTAGTAGTGTAAGAATAAGAAAAGTATTTCAAAAAAGTTCACATAACCCAATTTGATGGACACACATGCATGACAGTGACCAGACCTAAGCACACTCGTGCCTACATAAACACAGAGGTCGGCGAGCCTGGTTTGTATACGGAACTCAAAGACCATCATACGCCGAGCGTATGATGCGATGCTAGCGCGAGCAAACGTAATGCGTACGTACGTCGAGTGGCGCGAAAGTCCAAGTATAAAATGATATGAAAGCAGTTCTGCGTTTGACAGAACTGCATTATGAAGAAAAAGCACACAGACCCACACATACAGATACATAAACAGCCATACAAAGTGTATGACTGTTTGTGTACTGTATAAAGCATGGTGAGTGCTAAGCTTTTTACAGATGTGTGTACAAGTCCCAGAACAATATATTGGGATAAAAATGAACAGCAACTTCGAATTTTATCAACTGAATATACAACTAAAAATGTGAACAAACATAAAATAAACCTTTTAAGCACCCATCATGCATGCGGTTTAAATAATTAACCACCCATCTCTAATTACAAGCTTCACATAACATACACCATGCAACACATGGAATTCTTGAATTCTTGATGCAACACATGCACAACTATTTATCATACATGATGGTTGTGAATTCGATGATATAAGTTATAAGATGATGCATGCGTGTGACGGTGCGGGCAACCAAAACAACTTTTTTGTAAAAGTCAGTGAGTTCAGCAACACTAAAAAGCAGCAGTACTATCACAGTATTCGCTACCAAAACGAGCTGACGAATCGGCTCAGACGGTGGATACTGCAGCTTTTGTGGTCGAAAAGTTTAATAGTATGTAGGAGTGATATGTGAGCGGCTCTGCACTTGTTGGAGCTGTCTAATAAAAAAACAGAATAACCACACATCACCAAATCGTGACGATAATGAACACACAACACGACAACATACAACGATATTCCCTAAACTCAACAAACCATGTTTTGTATAGTTTGCTACGAAAACCCTTTACATTAAATAAATAGCAATGCAAGCTCAGCACATCGTCCCGTGAGGCCCAGAATAATTAACATGCAACTGGTTTTAAAAAACTTCTCATGCATCTAATATAAGATGATTGAAAAAAGTGAACCTACCATGAAACAAAACTGGATCGATTGAAAATATCAACAACAATTAATATAAAATTATTTCAATTATAAATATAAATTCAATAAAAACATCAAACGAATAAAAAGTAGCCCACGATACGATTGAAATTTCATAATTCCAATAATTATTAATTCCATCTGGACGCTGGTTGAAGAATTTTTTATAACAAATCTTCACCTGCCAAACATTCTCAATAATTCACTTGAGCGGCCCTCCCTCCTCACGGATTCACCACCAGCTGTCTCAGTCCTTCCTACATCCCAATCATTTTTCAGCATCATTATATCATATCGACTTTTATACGGAAGAACTTAATTGAACACCCCTCGCACATGAACACCCAACGACCGACCAACCAACCAACCGACCAACTTCAACCAACCGACCAACCAACCAACCAACCAACCAACCAACCAACCAACCAACCAACCAACCAACCGACCAACTTCAACCAACCGACCAACCAACCAACCAACCAACCGACCAACCAACCGACCGACCAACCAACCGACCAACCAACCAACCAACCAACCAACCAACCGACCAACCAACCAACCAACTGACCAACCAACCAACCAACCGACTAACCAACCAACCGACCGACCGACCAAAAAATTCGCATAGCAAGATAACCCAAAAACATATTCACTATTTTTATTGGTGATCATTTTCACAACAGTCTCCCTCTTT